GCTCGGGAAGTGTGTGTCGATGGCTGTAATGATGGCAAATGTGTGAACAGCGCTGATAGTAGTGGAGCCGAAACACCCGATGACACCAATAACGAAGAAGAATCAGATAAAGAGCCATAAAATTAATAATTATTTGTGAAATACAAATCAATTCTTTTAGTATTTTCATAAATTATAAATTAAAACTTATTTTAAACTTTCAAAAATATCTCAATATATTTTTTATATCAAAAATATTATCCACCAAAAAATATACAGTAATTTTTAAAATAAACCAAGTTTATGTACCAAAACGTTTTAACTTAATATAATATAATTAAGAACATCCATATAAGAACATTTATTTTAGTATTCAACATGATTATAAATATTCATAATTTATAAAATTTTATGTTTTAGTACTTATGTCTTTGAAAAGCTTGAATAAATACTTACAAATGGCAAAACTCGTGATAATCGTTGAGCTGTTAATTGAATTTTAAACATAAAGATAACACATTTTAAAGAATAAATATCAATCACTTTTAAACTCAACTTATATTTTAATCATTATTTATAATTACAAATATTAAAACCATTTTTACAGTAAATTATTGTGTCATTTAGTATATCATTCAACATTACAATCTCAATATAAACATCTCAATCGCTTAATACAGTATAAATTCATTCAAATGTCGTCTTCTTCATAACAATTAGCAATTTTTACATTTTTCTCAATACATTCACAGAATTAAAGTTAAATTATATTATAAAATAATGGAAAACAAAATAATGCAAAGAATAATAATATTAATAATAATACCATTGTTTTGAAAATAATTAAATAAACCAAAGAATTCAATATAGACTTTACATAAACTCTCAAACATATGTTTTTTTCTATACATTTACAAAAATATTCAGCTCTTGTTTTCATACAATTATTTTCATCATTTCGAGTAATAATATATAATTTAGACTTTTAATACAAAACTACATTTAAATGCTTTTAATATATAATATATTTATATAATCAGAGAATAGATTTTAAAAACAAAGTTATTTGTGTTTTCATAAAGTTATCAGAGATTTAAATACTTTTATTATATTATGAGATATAGTTTTATATAACTGTAGAGTTAATGCTATGTTTAAAATAAAATTTTCACAAATAGTTTCTTTCAATAAGTTATTTCACATTCATTTGTCATTTATTACAAGTAAAGTAAATGCGAGACTTTTTTGTGTTAAACTTTTCAAAACTTCAATATAAGATAATAAATGGCAATAAATTTCATCCAAAAAGCATTTCGTCAGTAATTTTGGGAAAACTAATTAAATATCTCTCTCTCTTCATCACAACAAACAATAACATTATTTAATGACTCTTTTCTATTCATTATAATAGTCTCATCCACTCTCTACTCATCCCCTCATCTCTTGTACGCAAACATTACATCAAAATATTTATAGTAATATATTAATTATTAAAATAAGATTTATTCAAACATTTGATCCAAAAATTTCTCTCATAAATATAACTTTGAAACTAAACTACATATAAGACAAAACGTCATTGTGTTTGGAAACATGCATTTCTAATAGTAATTACCGTTTAATAATATTTGTTATTTCTATTCAATTGATAACATTTTTATATGGGTTTCAATGGAAATGTTATTTTTTAAACATTTGATATTTAACTTTAGGAGTGATTTGGAAACAAAAAATTTGGTAAAAAATATTTAAGGAAATCTAAAAATGGATTTACAAAAGTTAGGCATAGGTTTGGGTAATTAAACATTCAATATTCAGTACTTTATTGAGATATATGTTACCAAATATATTGTATATTCAATTGATTTTCTGTGAATTCCATTAAAAGTTATAACAAATAAATCTTATCTGATATACAAATCTACCAGTAATTTGATATTAAGTCGACAAAAATATTTTTGTTGTAAAATCTAATTAAAAAATATTTAAACACAATTCTCACGAAAATGTATTCAATATTAATTAATAATTAACTTAAATAATGTTTTCATGGATTAGAGTTTAGAAAAACATGAAAACGAGTTTTCTTATCGATATATTCAAACTTCTGTGCGTTCTTTTAGTCTTAATTATATGTAATTTAAATGGGATTTTGATTTCATTTTAGTTGAGAAATCAAAACTTGAAAATTTTCATCACTTTTTTGTTTTGTTAAATAATTTCAATTATAAGAGAATATATCAACTTTTAAAACTTATTTTAGCTCAAAAAAACTCATACAAAATGTAACCGCATTTGTTGTATACCTTTTTCAATAAGTATACAGAATATAGTTGTGATATAATAGGAGAGAGTTTATAGTAAATTGAATGAAACACTATTTAGTGTAATAGTAAAGTGTATATAGAGTTAGAATTTTGATTGCATTGTAATGAGTGTTGACTTTAGGAGACATTAACCGTAATGTCTTGTATTAAATTTGTGACATATTGTGTGTTAGCCCTGAATGATAGACAGATATCATATGGAAATACGTTGTATTGGAAATGGTTTGATAACTGATAGGAAAGAACGCAATCAAACGGGTATTGCATCGTTGCATAGGGAAAGTGATGACTAAACATATGTTTTATTCATTTCCATAATTAATTGCATAATTAATAATTAAATTAATGAAACGAATCGTGTTTTTGGGACTCACTTTAGATGAAAGCCGTACTCACAATGAATAGCAAACAAATGATGAAAATTAATTCAATTAATTTTTTATCTCACTTTTGATTTGTTGCGAAAACATATGAAAAATTGATTAGAATTTCGGTATGAAATGAATGGCAAAGGGATTGAAAAATAATTAATACGTGAATTAAATTGAGTGTTGAGTTTGTGAATAAGGCTTTCTATCTGAAGAATGTGTGCACTTTTTATTTACTTAATGATTACTTTCATAGACTAGTTGTCTGGGAATCAAAAAATGCTAACATATTCACAGATAATGAGAACAATTAAAAGATAATTTCAAAAATAGCCTAAAAAACATTTAAAACTTTTAATAGTTAAATGATATCTAAGTATTATTGCCTTTAAATACAATTTGCAATAAAATTGTAAAATTGAAACTAAATATAATTTCAAAGTGATCTCAAAGTAAATTCAAATAGAGTTTAAATTATAAAAAGCATAAAATGGGTGCAAATTTGTGTCTTCACTCTCTTTTGTCGAAATGCTTTCATTTTAAATCGTTTTTGCTTTTAATGTTTCAAATTAAATATCAGTTATAATTTTCATAGAAATATTCGCTCCAAAACTAATTTGTTTCAAAAAATATATATTCAATAGATTTCAACATTTTTTCCATAAATATAATCAAAAGCTGCCAAACAATGCATTTTAAAAATTGTTTTTATGGCAAAAATAATTGCATGAATTGTAATCTTTTTGATGAGTTGACAGATCTCTCATATAATGCCTCAAATGATTGCAATGTTCAACAAAAATATACAATATTTACTACATTTTATTGCAGTCTTAAGTGTTTATCTGTTTAGTCGTCCTTTACTTGTGGTTTAACAGAAACACTCGGATCCATATCGACACGACCTCCGAGAGCGTCGTACACACCGGCCATATAATACACGTTCGGCGGATCATCGGATGTCGGGAGCGATGCATTCTGAGAGCGTCTCTCTTCATATTCAGTCCATGAGATGACTTGACATTTATGTGAAATGGTTTGCACATCGTTTACATCGAAATGCGAGGACTCGAACAGCGCTCCCTTCGTATGGTACGAAAAAAGGTATCATTAGTTGTGCGACAAACGTGTGGACAACGCATTCAAACGCAACCAACACTTACTCTTTTGTCGAGAAGAGGTTGCGGTTGTCCTTTGGTCTCTTCGGGGTGATAGAACCAGCGCACCTTCACTATCATTGTGCCGCTGCCCGTCTGCCACATCGAGTCTATGCGACCGATATATGGCAAGTGTGGCCGACCTGACACGAGTGACACACAATTAGTCATCAATTCATACAAAACATATGGCATATCAATCATTACCCGTAGACAAGAAGACGGCGCAGTCATCGACTCGGATGTGTTCTCTTCCCCTTTCGATTTCTTTGTAATATACTTTTCTGGTTCGCGACCCCTTATTGCCCGTCCGTTTGATCCACTTTCCAGACCAGTGCCAAAGCTGTCTCTCCGGTAGAAAGGGTGCGATTTTGCTTTTCTCAGACGATGGCATGCGTTCCCTCCTCTTTGGTACGGATGGACTCACAGTTGTGTTACTTGTATTGGTGTTGGGAGTAATTCGTTTGCGGATCGGACTCATGATTGTACACATCTTTTCACTCAAATTAGTCCTCAATCGATCCAAAGCTCTTTGTTTGGCCGTCTTTTTGACAATAGTTCGGATACGAGTTCTCTCTTTGTTGTCATCATTTTTGTTGACAGTATTGTCGTCTCTATAACTAATAATTCTCTGTCCGTCTGAATCTCTTTTATGCGTGAATTTTATGTTTTTTGCCGATGTTTTCATAGATATAACAGAGTAACAAAATGATGAGAAAACTAGCAATAAGACCAGTGAGAAAAGAGGCGGAAGAAATGGGCATAAAACGCTTGATAATCGTGATGACGGGAGAAGAGAGCTGAAAAATACAAAAAATGTAAATTTGTGATGACTGACAACAAAAATCAAATCAAAGTATTTAGTATTAAAATTGCAATCAAATCAAATATATTCAATAATATAAATATACAACAAAATGGGTTGAATACTGACCGACAGTGATGGTGCTTATGGTTGTGATGGTGTCTATGATGTCGATCCTCTTTGTTGTGCTTTTTCTTCTTTTTCTTGAGCTCTGATTTCATTGACAGACTATCGGGGGTTGTATTCGTGGAACTGTTGCTCCGGTTATTTGAATCCTTTTTACTCGTTTTTGATGAAACCGACGCTTCGTTTGAATTAGTTTTCAAAAGCATAGAACTGCTGGACATGTCTTCATTCAACGATTTTTTGTCGCCATTAAAGTTATCACAACTGAGTTTTGAGTGACGGCTCTCTTTGCCAGAAGAACTCATGCGTCGCTTGCGCTCCAGATTCTTGAACGGATCCGCATTGATCTTCATCTGCGGGTAGTCTTGTGGCAACAGTCGAATGTCATCGACAGCTATGCGTCCGTTGTCTCCGTCATCGAACTCCACAAACACTAGGTTTGGGTGCGGAGAAGAGGAGCGCACATAACCCGCATATAAGTGTCGATATTGTGTCGACCAATAGGCGCAAACTCTCTGCCCTTCTTCTAAGTCATGCAACGATGGCTTTACCTATCGTTAGATAATGAATATCATCGTTAAGAGGGCTCATATCTAATGTGTTAGTAATGTAAACACAATACAAACCTCACGAATGGCTTCCTTAAGCATCTCTTCCTGAGAATAGATGATCGGTCGGTGTTGTCGTTCGCCGTGAAGAGTAATGCCATAGATATCTGGCGCCTGAATGGGACAAATCTCACCGACAAATAAGAGGCCGTCGACTAACATAATTACATTCAAATTCTTCAAATCCAAATCGCTTTCTGTTAGTTTCAAATTCATCGCTGGTTTCGATAATAGACACGAACTAGACGTTGAAGAAGCAGAGGAAGACGCACAAGAGATTGTGGAACAGCTGGACGTCTGCTTCACTAATGGCTTAGGTTTTGGCGGCTCTTGAGTTAGTTTCGGTGATATGGTGTCAGAAGACAAAGATATTGATAATGGTTTCGATTCAGAAGCGATTGGTTTATCTTCTGTGATAACGGAAGAGAGGTCTAAATCATCCATAAGTTCGTCAATTTGTTCCACAGTTTCTGATGGAACTAATTCTTTGGCAATAATCTCATCAATGGTTTCGTCTAATAATTTCATTCTCTTTTCGTCGTACAATTGCAACAATGGTTTAATTAATGGCTTCTTCTTTTTGGACTCGTCTTTTGGTTCATCACTGGCTTCACGTCTATTCAATTCAGGGCTTAGTTTCTTATTTTCTGCAATCGTTTTAATTATTTCATCCATAGATTCGTCATTCGTGTCGTGAGTTTGTGTCACTTTTTTGATAATGCTTTCGATGCTATCATCGATCTGTTTGTTGTGATCTGTTTTCAATTTCTTCTTGTGCTCTAACTCTGGAACTAATTTTTTCTTTCGTTTCTTTACTTGTCGTGAGTTTGTGTCACTTTTTTGATAATGCTTTCGATGCTATCATCGATCTGTTTGTTGTGATCTGTTTTCAATTTCTTCTTGTGCTCTAACTCTGGAACTAATTTTTTCTTTCGCTTCTTTACTCTCTTTTCGTCAGTCTTTCCATCAGATGATCGGCTCTTAAGAATAGAAGAGATGGAACCAGAAATCGGGGATAATTTGCTTTTCTTCTTCTTCTTATCCTTTTGTTCGATAGGTTTCTCTTTTGTGGATGCATTCAAATCAACACCAATTTTCTGAATATAAGTCTTATTATCACAGGAAACCATCTTATCATTAGTTTTGGTTTTACAACTATTATCAGAAAATTGAGTATTGTTTGAAGGAAAGTGACAATTGATTTCAGTTAACATGTTATGCGCTTTCATTTTATCGTTGCTTTTAATGGACACAGAATTTGAAATATTCTTCTCATTAACATTAGGTTTCAAATTATTATTATTATTATATTATTATTACTATTACTGGTGTTGTTAATAGATTTCAAGTTATTATCCAAACTGTCCTTTCGTTTACACTCTTTGGAAGGAACAGATTCTTTATCCTTAATGTCAACAGAATTCCCTTCTTTGGTCGAAACAAACGAATCATTTATAAAAATACGTTCACTTCTCCTTAAATGAGCGGCATTTTTGTCATTAAATGATTTGGATCTGCGGTCAAAGAGATCTGTTTGACAGCCGGAAGTCCTCATCATTTTCTTAATATCGCTCAAAGTTTCTTCGCTTTCATCAAAATTGATTGGATTTGTTGTGAAACAGGACTCAGATCTCTGTCTCTTCTTTGATGTATTGGTATTATTTGTTTGAATATCTTTGAGACCATTCATAGTAATACTGGATTCTGTCGAATGTCTCCTCAGAGGGCTTCCGTCGGCACCCAATCTCTCTTCGCGAGCTCTCTGTTCAGCCAAAGCGCTCAACAATTGGAGGCCATTCACTGTAAGGTCACCGCTAATAGTGGATGTATTAGTCTCTTCGCGAGCGGCAAACTCTTCGATGGAGTCAACCAAGAGGTCGAGTCCGTGATGATCGATGAATTGCATGACTGGCGCCGATTTCACGGGCAGTTGTGGCGGCTCGTCGGCCGCCAATTCGTCAACAATTTGCAATTGAATCGAGTCTCGACTCGACTCGTCGTCGTTGTCGTCAACCGACGAATTCGTTTCACTTGTTCTTCGCTTTCGTTCACTAAATAAACTCAATTTATGGCGCTTTCCGTCGTTGTCGTCGTCTTCTTCGGAGGAATGGATGCAATCCATGTCCACCTAAACAACGATACCATTGGTTTTATCATCAATTATTAAAATGCTATTCAAATGTATAGTTTGTTTAAGTGTGACTCAAACCCATTATATCCTATTTCAATGTTTTTGTTGTTTCAATGTTCTAAACATAAGCTATACATCGGTTTTGCAGAAATAAGTGCCAATTATTTCATATTCTGTTTGGCTTTTTAGCTCTAATACTGTATAACGATTGCAATCAATTGTGGAAACAAATCTCTCCATTCAAAACATATGCAATGAATCATAAATACACAAATTAATTCAAATTCTCAGCTCCTCTTTGGGCACATTTAAAGCAATTAAAAATAAAGCATTTCATTGTTAATTTCAATGATAATTGAATTTTCAATACAGATATCATTGAAATTAATAATCAATTTGTGTTTAAAATTAATAATGTTTTACCATGTTATAATTATAAAAATATATTAGAATTTAATCAATGATATCAAGTAATATCACGACTTAACTAAACCGTGCATTTGTTAAATGAAATACTTTATTTGTAATTAAATACAATTGAAATTAAATTGTTTGCAATTGTTTACTATCCAAGAAATGGACGGATTGTGTGTAAAAGTCAAACACTTATTTTGCAGTTTCTATATTTGTAATCATGTTGACTTTAAATAAGTAGTGAAAGGCAACAGTAAATCAATAGCTACTGTGTAAAAGTAAAAGCATTTGAATATTTATAAGAAACAACAAGTTAAAAAAAAGTGTAATAAAGTTTGAAAACAAGTTTTGATCGATGTATTGCATTGATTGCTTTATCTCACACAAGAATTGCCACTTATTTCAAAATGAATCGACACTTGAAAGCGAAGCGAAACATTTTCAACAAACTTTATACTGCATTATAAGCTATAAAAATGCAATTAAAACATTAAAACTCTAATAAAAAAGTTTGTGTTTTTGCAAATTTAAGGCAATGGCACTGGAGTTCAGATATTTATGTTTATGTAAATTGTGTTAATTATATAAGAAATATGTTTACAAACAACTACTGAATAAGAAAAACAAATACTATATGAGAGGAGACATACCTGAGTGGCCGTTGTCTTCATATTATCACAGGAGAGTTCGTCATCACTGATGGACGCCTGACANGTTAATTATATAAGAAATATGTTTACAAACAACTACTGAATAAGAAAAACAAATACTATATGAGAGGAGACATACCTGAGTGGCCGTTGTCTTCATATTATCACAGGAGAGTTCGTCATCACTGATGGACGCCTGACACCCGCGCTCCACATTCACTGAGTTATTGTGACTAAAGTTACCATTAATTGGTGTCTTCTCTTTCGCGTCGATACCAGTGTTTGCGAAACAAGTGGTTTGATTGGTATTGATGTTAGCCATGACTGTTGTGACGGGTGCTGTGGCCGCGATTTGAACTAATGGTGCGTTGTTTGCGGTGTTAAGTATGAGCGTCGAGGCCTGTGTTTGGCCTAAACTGGCGAAGAATTGTTGCGGTTGTGTTGAGCCCATCGGCACCGTTAGGATCGCTGAAGGACTCGATTTAGCCGAGTGTTCGTTGCTTTTCATATTCATCGGCTGTATTATAGACGACGGCTTTGGTGTTGTGGTCGGTGTTGTCGGGAGTGATGACGAGTTGCGGATCAGATAGAGATGCCCTGATAATGATACTCAATATTAATGTACTGATTATTTTGATGTCTATTTTGTGAATGAATACCTGTGAGTGAATCCCTGGCAAACTGATAATCACCGGTGAAAGAAAATTGCGAATTACTCTGTATTGTGTTGTTGTTATTGAGCGCCGAATTGGGCGTCGGTTTAATCCACAGCGAAGTGCCGGCCGGAGGGGAATCCGTTATAAGAATAGGACTGTTGGCCATCACTGGTAACGATAGGGTTGGAAGTATTGGTTTGAGTGGTTGCGAAGCGTTTGCTGCGGAATCAGTGGGCGATTTAGTCTTTGGTGATGTCCTCTGCTGTGCGATCGCTATTCCGATGGGTATTGTGGCTGACGTGGGTTTTCGCGAAATACGACACTTTTTTGGTAACTGTTTGGTCGCAGAATTGGTACTGTTTTGGGTTAATTTGTGGCCATTTGTTGCCAATTGATTGCTATTCTCATTCACAGAACTGGTGACAGCTTTTATATTATGATTGGATTTTTTGTGTTCTTGCGATTGGTTTGCATTCAATTGTTTGGTATTTGTTGTCATTTTGGGCATTGATTTGGTTCGACACGGAATGACAGTTTGGGTTTTGGGATGAGTTTCAATCGTGTTTACAATTGCTGTTGTTTTGTTCGCCGCAACGATTGGCGAAGACTTGAGTGTGTGATCAGAATTGGATGACTTGTCATCTGGTATTGGAGTCAATGACTTTGTGTGTTCGCCATTCATTTGGTTCTTGGGTTTTGGCAATACTATAGATATGGCTGTATTTGGTGTGAGACCAGCAGTCGATTTGGCCGTTTGGCAGCCGTTTTGGCTGTCATTGTCTACACATTTATTCAGACGATGAGACTCTTTCCTATAGGACTGTAATTGCTTTAATTGAGACTCTCTTTTGGCATCTTTTGCTCTCTTATTATTGCAAATATCGCTCAAATTCTTGTTACTATTAATAATAGAAACTTCATTTCCATCACTACTATTAGAATTTGAATTACAATTGCTTTCAATAATGAGATTCTTATGATTGAACTGCTTTTCGACAACATTCACGTCCATAGAATTGCAATTGGCTTTAAGACTCGTATTTGTATTAGAGTTGGTATTGTCTTCAATCATATCTTTAGCATTGGAATCGTCGACAATATCCGTAGAATTAGGCACTAATTTACCCGCAATCGAAGGCAAACTCATATCACACACAATCAACTCTCTCTTCACTTTGGCTGTAGTCTTATCTTCAATGGCATCCACTTTATCCTGAGATTCATTTTCATCAATCGCTTCCACAGTAGTGGTCAACGACTCGCGCGTGTCGTTTATAGCATGTGTTTTATCGCTTGTATTTGAATTAGTATTCACTTCAATGTTATTGTCAACCACTTGACTGCAAGTGTCATCGGATCTCATGAGTGGCTCGACTCGAACAGAATATTTCTCTTTGCTTTTGGTTGTCATCGATGTAGTGATTGTTGTGGTTATCGTTTTCTGGTTGGACTCACGCCGTGACGAATGTTTGCTGTGATTTTGATCGTTATGTTTAGCAGATTTGTGATGCTTTTCAACACTTCTGTCGCGATTATGATGTGAATCGACTCTTTCTGAATCCGAATTCATGTCAATTGATATCTTATGGGAATTAGAGTTCATTGTTTGACTGATTTGGTGTGAAATACAATTCACTTCCGTTGGCTCGCATTTAATCGATGGCGTCATCGATGGTGTTGTCGATGGAGTGGATGTGTTATCACTGAAATAAGTCGGAGGTCTGTCAACACTGGATGATAATGAGGGCGACAACAGTAATGGCATCGATGAGGGACTCAAAAAAGCTGATGACAAACCGGGACCTAATTTCACCATTCAATAAATACATCATTTAATTAACTCACGATTAATAATTAAAATAAATTGTAAATATTGAGAAAATAAGTGACAACTAATAAATAACAACAATTAGATGTTTGATATAATGAAAACGATGTCATACTTGAAGCATATGGTGATGGAAGGGATGATACTCTGGGGTAGAGTGAAGGCGAATGTAAGTCAGGACTGGGACTCATTGGCGACAATGAATTTGGCGAAAACATGTTCAAGAGGTGGGCATTAGTGTTGTAAGTGAAGGGACCCGACGGCCCGAATGCTATTCCGTTCATCTGATGATAACCTATTAACACATTATAACAATCATTACAACACCGCTATAACGGCCACAATCGGCACTTTATTTCAATGCCCGAGTTTGAGAGCATATCATTTCTATATATTATAATATTATTGTAATTATAGTGTATTATAATTTATAAATATTAATATTCTTGAATTGTAATTATTGTAAATGTAATATAAAAGTGAGAATAAGGGTAATGTAAATATTGTAAATCTATAATAAGTTTGAGCGCATATTTCCTTACAAATACTGTCTATTATTTTAAAAGTTTAAAATAAATTTGAATCTAAAATAAATAAAATTTAAAAATAAACTCAAAGATAAAGTGGGTTTAAATAAACTTAAAAGAGTTATTGACTATATTTTGCTGACCTTTCAATTCAAGCGATATTTGAAATGAAAATCTTTTGATTAAAAAATAGAGATTAAGAAAAACAAACAAAAATATGTGAAAATTACGAAATAACTGCCAATATATGAAAAAAAAATTAATAATTTTCACACAAATATGAACTCAAAAAGTAATCAAAAATGTGATTAAAAACAAATTTTCAACAAAACACGCAAAAAGTAAATTTTTTGCCGAACAATAGATAAATTGAAATAAATATAATGAATATATTGTTACTAATAATGTGTATAATGTATGAAAAGTGATGACAAGACATACTTTGTTGTGCTGTTAGTGACCAGAAAGAGCTGGGAGTGAGCGGCGATGCGGGCGATAACGCGCTGTAAGGGTTGTAGTGATACATGTCGTGCGGATACGCGAGACCGGCGGCCAAACTGGTGGCCAATGGAGAGGCGAAGGGCGACGGCATGTGATGCGCGGCCGACGAGTACCTCGACATGAATGAGTAGGGATTGATGTGTCCGATGGGTCCGTACGGACTCAGCGGTGAGTACGGGTATGGAGTGGAGGGCGCGGGCGTTGCGATACGACACCGATTGTCATCACCCGTCAGACTGATAGGTGTGGCCGACGAGGAGTTCATGTCTTTTATATTAATTTTTATATGTTTTTATATTAGTTTACATTTGCTTTATATATGAATAGCTGTTATTGTATTTGACTTTTTGTTTCCTCGTTTTTCAAGTCATTTATGCAAATGTTTTATAAATAAAATTTTCGCTTCAGTTATGAAAACATATGAATAATAATAATAAATCAGTTGTTTTGATAATAACAATGAATACGCGTTTTGTAAGCAAACAGTGAATTAAATCACATCTTCTTTCTCTATAATTATCTCACATTTTCTTTCACTTCAAATACATATCAAAACAAACGATTAATGCATTCAATACTCGACTTATGTTTAACTCTTTAACCATTAAATAAGCCATCATTTGGTCATTAATTCAGTCAACAATTCATTTGATTTCTCGCCAAAAAATGTATATTTTTTTGTACAATATTTGCGACAATTGTGTGATTTTTAACATAAAATTTATACAATATTTTTGTCACAACAAAAAACTTATCGTTTGAATGAAGAAAATACGGGAAATAATATATTATATGATTATATGAGTTGTGTTTCGGGAGAAAAGCCAATGAATCGCACAAATAGTCCAATCATTGATAGATTTATACCAAACTTAATGCCAATTATTATAAACTCTTTGTTTTCAATCACTATTTAAACGGAGATTTCAATAGAGAAACAAAACTTACATTAATTTTTGCACTAATTGTGAGAAAAACAACTATTTTGGGCCAAAAATGAATTTCAAACACAAACTTATAGTTGAATATTAATATTAATAACGATTAGTATTAGAAATGAATGCATTTGTTGTGCATTACATTCACGACCGAAGCTATCGATGAAATGCTAATCAAAACAATAATAAACACAGAAATGAATGCTTTTGTCGACTAAAGTGATGGCAAATAACGAGTGAATGGTTTGAATGATCACTGGATTAGTGCCACTAATGGCTGTGATTGGAGTGAATGTCACCCGAAATGGCATTCATTGGTCGACGCATTGCTCTAATGTTAGACAATATGAATGACAAGAAGTGTTATAAACAGTAATAATAATAATAAAGTCACGAATCGATTGTTTGGCGAATGAATGTTGCGTTCGATTTGTGGCAATCAAAACACAACCATTTCTTGTGACGCATTCATTGCTTGCATTCGAACCTTACGTTTACGTATTATTCGCCACTTATTTTCGTTTTTCGCATCACTTTATGCACACATTTTGGCAGACATTTTGCACTCACAGACACTCAACATTGCATTCACTCCACAGCGCAGACAATGCTATCCATTGCACACACATTCAGACCCTTTTGTGTTCACTCACTCAACGCTAAACATTGTATGCAAACGTACCAACACTTCGGCCAACAAATGGCACACATTTAGTGCCCAATTAGTGCACACGAAGTGAGAGTAAACATCTGTGAGCTCTGATTGGCTGTCGATTGTAGTCATAGTTATGACGCAATCATTGCTTAATTAGTTTTTGAAAACTGGTTTTCCTCTCAATCTTCACTGTCTGACCACTTATTGCTCTCTCAGACTCTCTCTCTCTCTCTCTCTCTCTCTCTCCCCAACTCTCACACCAATAAAATTGTGTTTCCTTCGCATAAACTCTGCATTTATAACACATTTATGTTTTATTAGTGTTTAAAAAGATGTCATAAATTAAATGAAAACTTTTTTTTGAATTCAAATCACTTTTTCGCGAATCAAAGCTAATGTTTGCCAAAAAAGTTTGCATTTATTATAAAACGCGAGAAAACATGCGCTGAATGTACAGTACATGTGGTCTGAGATTGAGATACGATATCCACTGTTAAGCCTATGTTTTGCCACAACTTGTCATATGATTTCAATACCAAAACAAACGCTAGTTTTGATCGCTTTTCACGCAATTTGTTGTCCGAAAGCTAATAATAATTGAATGAATGGCCGAAGAAGTGGTGGTAAGCAGTGATGGGTTGTCTTCGGACCGAATTATAGGGACGTATCCATCAGTTTGTGAGCGATATTATGAGCGCAAGTACTTCAACGACCCCTCAAAGCCCGGATCCGATCAAACGGTTCTGTTTCACTCAAATCGGTATTTCATTATCAATGCTATAATTGATGCCATTTTTCTAATTCACTTATATTTTGATTTGAATGAAGGGTTTGTTTGATAACACTGTCTCACAATCACCTCATCATTAAAGACAACAAAAGCATTGAAAACATTGACTTCAATATAAACTCTGATTTGAATCGTTTGGATAACAAAGTGTCGGGAAAGTGGAAAAAAGTGTGTCTTTTAAATGCATTTGTTGTTTGAATGAAATTATAATCTATTTGTTTGCGATTCTGTCTGAAAGGGTGGTCAGAGAGTGAATCCCGGATCCATATTATGTCGCATCCAATGCGCAGACAACGAGATATTTGACATCAAAGCCTGTATTAACGGCACAATCGTTGAAATGAATACCAAATTAATAGATGATTACGATTTGGTTAAGCGAAAGGTAAGCAGTGTTTAGGGCTTTTCAATCATATGTTTGGCTAATAATTGATTGAATTGTATTGAAGACATGGTCTGACGGTTTCATCGCTATTGTACTCCCATTTCGTGGTCAACAGGAGTCCGAAAAGGAGTCCCTTTTGAGTCCACAACAATACCAAACTCTTATACAAACTAATCACTAAATTTATGTCATGTTTTAATTATCAATTAAATTATTTAATTAAAAGTTAATAAATAAGTTTTTGATGAATGACTTTTGAATGCAAACGTTATTTATGTGAACACATGTTTAGTGTTGTTGTGATTGATTTGTTGTGACAATTGTCTGCCAAAATGTTGTCATCGATGGTAACCAAACATCACAATCAGCTCAAGATTAAGAAAGAAGAGATCGGTTTGCCATCCATTGCTCTGTTATCTCACGTAATGATTGATTCATTTATTCAGAGACCAAACGAAACGAAGCGATCGATAGTTCGGTGGACTTCACATCAAATCTGGTCAACCATTTGAACGATGGGTAAGATTACCGCCGATGACTGTTAGAGACAATTACTATATCTCTATTTATGTGCCAAAGAGTGGCCAAAACATATCTAAACCAACGAAAGCTGGACTCGGAGTCCAAACAATTGGTCCAAAATGTGGCACAATTTGAACGATCAGTGAATCAATGGTTGGGTTTAATGAATGGCTTGAATAAAGCGGTCAAAGAGTTGGGAGACGTCCAGAACTGGTCCCAAGCCATCGAACAGGACATGAGAACCGTGTCGTCAGCTCTCGAGTACACCTATCAGTGCAGACAATCCCAAACGCCTCAACCCTAACACCCATATTGTTATTACAATACAAACTATTATTATTTTTGTTTTATATTTTAATATTAAATTCAAATATTATATTATATATCAAAAGAGTTCACAAAATCATAATTAATTAAACAATTAATAGAAATACAAAAATTAAGTCAATTTACAAATGGTTTGTATTTGAAGTACAAATGAGTCGAAAAGTAATAAAACATTTCTAATCTAAGGCTACATAAAAAGTACTATAAGTTATTAATCACTGAAATCAACGTTTGATTTGATAATTAAGCCGTTGTATAGAATCTGAACATTGATTTTGAATGTGTAAACGTTTTTCTATAATTACTGTATAATAAAACACAATAATATTAAATATAAGATCACTTCATATATTGTCGTCACTAATCATTTGATTGTTAGTCGTTTAAAGGGTTTCATATAAATAACAGTTCATTCATAATAATTATAAATAATTGTTAAATGACTGCAAAGAACGGCACATTCGGGCGTTTAGAGTGATTGGGAGCACATATTTAGCTTAATTTTACACACCATTCGGGTATTAACACAGACATCACTTAGGGATCACTCACTCTCTATCACTCGCCGACCCTTTTGCACGTTTTTGGTTGTCATTTACTTTCAATATCAAAATGGTATCAATTGTTGTGTAAATAGTATTGCTTTCGGGGTTTTACAAAATATAACCGATATATAAAACAGATAATCAAATACTGTCTAAACATTCATAATATTGTGTTTTTGTATCATTTGAATGAGGAATTAACAAAAAATCAGTTTGTTTTGCACATTACAGTGACTTTAAGTCATATATTAAATACTGTGTAAACTTCAAAAACGCTAATAAATGAGGAAAATTCAAATATATATTCAATATTTATGACAATTCATGTGTAAATAAATCTTTTATAATTATTATATAAATATTTAGTAATTCTTAATATTATTTGTTTATATTAGTGGAGAAATAATCGATTGGTATTTTTTGGTGACAAAACAGATTCTTGAGATGAATACTAATATTATAATCCAAAATATGTTTCCATTAAATGATGATTTCATATTCAATTCAAAAGCATTTGTTTCACACGCGACTAAATTTGAGACCCGCTGTCAATCAAACAATAATACAAATCAATACAATTAGTGCTCAAATTGAGTGAAAGAATTGGACAAATATTGTTCAATACAAACCCTCATCGTTTGAATAACAGTTCTGACAGTGAAGCTTATGATTGCGAACCCGGACATCGGTTCCAACGGTTCCGTTACCTGTGGGCACACAATATACACATTGAATTATTTCAATAATACCGGTAATTGCATTGTTTTGGCAAAAATAGGTATCAATTAAATACAAACCCAATTGAATGTTACAAACAGAACATCGAAAACAATTGATGTGATAGTAAAGAGAGAGGGACTCGACAACCATAGCAGCGCATCCTCTGCCCAATTCGTCACTACAAGACGAGCACTTCTTTTTTCCCGACACCGAAAGCATTCCCTTCTGTGGCGATGACGACGACTTGTGGGTCGACGACGGGGTGGACGTCGTTGTCCTCTGAGTTGCCGATACTGTGGACGGAGTGATAGACGCTTGCGTTGGAATTGAGTCCAATTGGCGCCTCAGTTCTGCTTCTTGTAGTAACCAATGGTTCTGATTATAACCGCTTTGTTGTTGTTTTAGTTGTGGTTTAGCAGTCAATGGCTGACCCGCTCGCGGATTCACTGGCTGTTTGTGTTGTTGCGAAACCATCACTGGTTTCTGTATTACTGGCCCACTATTTGTCGGTTTGTTGTTCGCGTAGGGCTTCGGGTAATATAAATATTGGTTATGAGGCGGTGAGGGATACGTCTGGTCTGGTGATACAATTTGGCTCATTTGGGACTGTTGTTGGTGTTGTTGTTGTTGCTGCTGCTGCTGTTGTGGCTGCTGTTGAACGCCGACATCCGATGTCGACATTTGTGACAATTGTTGTGTTGTTAGTGACATATGTTGTGACGAATCGTAATACTCGCGTTCCGATGGACCAAATCTGAAACCAAATGATAAAACAATTATTTAAATTCAACAAAAATGAGTCAATCATACCGTTGTCCACGAGATTCGATGGGTTCGTAGTGGTTATGATTAGCGATTTGGTTATTAAAGAGCTGCTTCTGATTGACGTATAGGTGCTCTTGTGGTAAAGTTGCTTGAATTGGCTGTTTATATGGCAGTTGTGGCTGTTTTTGGTGTACTTGTTGTGTGGGTTGTGAGGGTTGGGGCCGAACAGGGTTTGGACTTTTAATAGGAATTGTGTTTTGTTTGCCAATCGGCTCATCCATCAAATAGTACTGTTGCTGTTCGTACTGTTGTTGTGAGGATTGGGACGACTGTTGCACCGGTTTTTGGTTATAATTTGGCGACTGATAGATGACATTCTGGCCCAGAGATGGGCTTTGATTGTATTGCTGGCCATTTATTTCTGAAACGGGTGGCGGTCTCTGCGCTCTTTGCCTTTCTCTATGCAATTGCTGTATTCGCGCGTTTACTTCCTCTTCGTCCTCATCTTCGTTCTCATACTGTCCTCTCTGTCCACTCAACACAACTGGTCGTTCACTACTCGACTGTATTTGCGGTTTATTGTGAAGCATATCTTCACGCGGTTGTGGTTGTGGTTCGCGTTTGGGCTCATCCCTACTCTTTGTGTTTTTAGTAGAAACACTGATTTGATGAGTGGTTTCTTCAGATTTGGCCAAATTTTCAAAAGCAGACAATTTTGCTTTAAAGCTCTTCTCTTGTTCTAAGCGCTCGATTCGCTCCAACTCTTCGTCGTCTTCGTCATCGTCTTCGGCGTCATAACTATTATTATAGACATCAATGTCTTTATCTATAAATTGTTGGTTTTGGTTGTGTGTTGGCTGTTGTTGTTGTTGCTGTTGGTTCAAGAGATACATCAGCACATTATCCTTATTTTGTTGTCCATTCTGTTGCTGCCAGTCCTTAATCTCAACCTTAATCTTATCGGTTCGTTGATTCTGTTCGCTGTTGTCATCGATGTCTCGACTTTTATTAATATCATTAATGGGTTTCTTATCGTTATTAATGCTATTTATATTATCATTTTGCTGGCCGTCGAAGAACTTATTACTCTTATTGTGGATCTGTTGGCAATTCTTAGTAATTTCGACAATAGACGAGTCGTCACTGTCTTCTCTATTGTGGGTATTATTATAACTGAACTCTTTTAACAAAGAGGTATCAAAAACTATAACATCTCCTAAATTGGATTTTTCATGATTACTATGATTTGTATTAATTATATTATTATTATTGTTGTGATTATTATTCATGCGTTTGTCGTCGTCTTCATTCATACTGTCGTCGGAGTGCTTGTCATCTGTTCATTGGATATAAATAGCAATTTTGAGACAACAATTAATTTAAACACTATTTAAATCATTATAAAGTTAATAATAAACTCAAAAAACAATAAAATAAAACAATACTAAAGTACTAAATGATTAATAAAAAAAAATTAATAAACAAAACGGCATTAAAATGTCGTAAACGAGTTAAGAGTCTATATATTAATCATATAAATAATATAATAAATGCACGAAACCTGAGATATAATGATATTGTTTAATGAAATGCAAACATTAGTTAAAAACAATGTCAATGTATGGCATAATAAAAAGACCATTTAAAGGGTTTTCTTGAAACATGAAATATAAACAAAAATATGCTATTTTTTATGTGCCGTATATTCATAATAGAAATTATAGGAATAATTGAATTTAATCTAACATTTAATACCAGTGTATTTGAAGGCAAACCCATTTCGTAAAAAGGGATATTAATTTACTCGTGAATTATTTTCGATAATAACTTTGCGTTTGAAATACAACAACAAAAAATATTTTGAGAATTTATTTTTAATTTAAATGAAAAAACAAAATAGTTTTATAGAAAAAAGTTAGATAAATGACTGCAAATGTTATATATTTTATTAGATTATAGGGTTCGGTCTGTTAACCAAAATAACGCTTTCATAAAACAAAAGTAAAACTATTGATAGAAACAAATGAATTAATTAAATCGAGATTTAATTGTTATGAGTTTTGTTTTTCTAATAAAAGAGCAAAAATATCATAAAAATAATAACAATTAATTCAATGTTTAGATCAATATCTCATAGAACTCTTGATAATAGAATTAAAAATATAACAAATGTAATAATTATGCAATTAAAAAAAGTGTAACATATTTACCATAATGATTACGATCATGATCAAATCTCAATTCTTTCTCATTGTCGAGTTCTCCGTCCAGATATTGGTGTAAATTATATCCAATTCGTTGTCCGGACTTCGCTTTATCGCTAAGTATTTCAGAAAATGTTCGCGTCTTTCGATTCGATGCTAAAGAGGTTCCGCTTTCGTCTACAAAACACAATACTATTCATTACACATTTGTTACCATATAAGTGGCTATAAATCTAGCATAATCAATTATACATTTAGTGAATGTTTGTTTTCAACACTAATCCCTATTTTTAATGTTTAAGTATTTTGAAAATGTTTAAGTCATTGAAACCAAAACATTAGATAATTGTAGTAATAATTACATAAAGAAAACTTTACATATCATTGAATTAAAGCTATTATAAATTGTGTACTACTTAAGCATTACTTTATTTAATTTAAAGCAAAGGTTTAATAAACTTTAATTATTACTCTAATTGTTTGTGTCATTTATTGCGGGTCTTTCTTGACATTTAAAAATAGGAAATTATCATAAATGTAAAACTGCTTTAAATAATAACAATAATACTAATTGTATTTTTCTAACAAAATTGAAATAAAGATTTCATTTTTAAATGTGTGAATAAAAGCTTGAGAAATAAAAGTTAAAATCACGAAAATTATTACTTAAACTTTAAACTAAAACAAACTTTTTATGATATGATTTGCACTCATTTTTAGGACTCATCTTATCATATATTGCAAGAATAGCTTATAATATAACATAATTTACTATTAGTTATATACGAGTTATAAAAACAAATGCTATAACTTATAGATTTGTGAATATAAGCTCGTAATAGTAGAGTACGGGAGAGAAAACTAAAATTAAACTCAAAATATCGTACATATATTTAATACTGTTTAAGTTTTATAGTATTTAGTTTACTATTTATCCAAAAATCATAAAAATTAATTTAAAACTTAAGAAAAGAAGTTTTGTTTTGTCATAAGTATAAAGAAAAATATGAAATTATTTTTCAAAAGCAAACCAGAAATAGCTTTCCAACAAAAAAGCCTTTTCTAGTCGTATATAAGGCTTAGGAAAGGCTTCCGGCAAAACTGCTTTCCAGAAATATAATATAACTTGTCTTATATTAACACAAAGTGTTTGTGTTATAAATATATATATAAACAAAAATATTAAATTATAAGACAAAGAAAAATAGAAAATAAGTTCATTGTTTGACAGATATTTAAGATAAATGTTCACAAAAACACACAAATAAAGACTTTTTGTGTTTATAATAAATGTTGAGAAGAGTTTTCATTTCTGTTATAAACACAAACTTTTCTCAAAACATATTTCATTACATTTAAAGAAAACTTCATATTAAAGATTACAATTGGTTTTAAAGTAACTTTTGAGCGCAAAAAAACACTAAAATAATGATTAACTTGTATTTTATGAGAGATTTATTCAATTGTCTTTCACTTTAACACAACATTTTCACAATAAAATGGATAAAATATATTAACAAAAGAGTAGTGTTGTTATAATATAGACGCTTGCGTTGGAATTGAGTCCAATTGGCGCCTCAGTTCTGCTTCTTGTAGTAACCAATGGTTCTGATTATAACCGCTTTGTTGTTGTTTTAGTTGTGGTTTAGCAGTCAATGGCTGACCCGATCGCGGATTCACAGGCTGTTTGTGTTGTTGCGAAACCATCACTGGTTTCTGTATTACTGGCCCACTATTTGTCGGTTTGCTGTTCGCGTAGGGCTTCGGGTAATATAAATATTGGTTATGCGGCGGTGAGGGATACGTCTGATCTGGTGATACAATTTGGCTCATTTGGGACTGTTGTTGGTGTTGTTGCTGTTGTGGTTGTGGCTGCTGTTGAACGCCGACATCCGATGTCGACATTTGTGACAATTGTTGTGTTGTTAGTGACATATGTTGTGACGAATCGTAATACTCTCGTTCCGATGGACCAAATCTGAAACCAAATGATAAAACAATTATTTAAATTCAACAAAAATGAGTCAATCATACCGTTGTCCACGAGATTCGATGGGTTCGTAGTGGTTATGATTAGCGATTTGGTT